TCAGTTCATAAAGATGCTTCAAGTGTGCGTGATGTAGAAACCATGGATATTGATGAATATTCAGTGAGTAAGAAAGAAGGGAAAAAGCAAGATGTAGATAGTAAAGCAGAAGATGAGAAAATGGAAGTTGAGGGTAGTGTCAGCAGCAAAAGCACTCTACTCGATGCTGTTCAGCTAATGAAGAACATGGGAACAATTGCAATAACAAGAGTGGATGGAAAAACTTTGGAACATGGTAGTGGAAGTGCCAGGGAAAAAGAGAGAGCAGAAGGAAATGATGATAGAAAGAGTAGCAGTGATGATTCAAACAGAAATACCCCAAACTCTCAGAGACCATCTCCAGCTCCAAGAGTTTCAGAAAAAGATATGGAGCAGCACATATCTTCTTTAGGTTGTAGTGTAAGTGTGACAAAAGCAGTAGATAAGGATAGAGAGAAGGAGAAAGAAAAGGAAAAGGTTAAAATGCCATCTGGTGTGGATACAACACGTCTTAGTCCTTCTATTTCAATCATTCCTGTAGCTAGTGCAGCAGAGCGACAGCGAACAAAAACCACCATTGCTCCATCAGCTTCACCAAATGAAAGTCAAAATTCACCAACAGTTTCGACACAAAGCGCTCCAAGAACTTCTCCTGCTGTAAGTCAGAATCCTTCAACAAGCACATCAAGTATATCTGAAACGACGCCATCAACTGCAACACAGAGTGCTACCCAGAGAGTATCCTCTGCATCATCCAGTAGTTCGCCACAGACTGCTGGTGGAAATAATATTCCTCCCCCTCCACCTCTTTCTCACCCTCAGGCTTCACAGAGTAGTGTCGTGGGTCCAAGAGGAGTGTTTGGTCCTCCACCCCCAGGAAGCCAGGTTTTAGGAATGCCAGGTGCTCGAGGGCCCATTATGTCAAGTCCGGGCCTGAGAATGATGACCAGCTCTGGACCAGGTGTGTTGATCCCATCACGCATGCCTGGGGGACCTGGCATGACACCCACTAGACACCTACCACCAGAAGCAGGTCCACTCTCTTCACAGTTGCACAAACACTCACAAAAGTTGGCAGAAGTGATGAGGGCCACTCTTGAAGATGTCCTGGCAGGTCTTGTTGGAACTGGAACACCAGAAGCACGTCTGGCAGCCCTACAGTTAGAACTTGAGCGAACAAGTTGGCGACACCAGCAGGAACTGGCAGAAGTTCGGCATAATGCAGATGTCAGATGTCATGCTTAGAAGCTGAGAAACAAAGAAGAGCTGTAGAAGAAGTGAGAACAGATGGAGCACAGATGGTGGAAGCAAGAAGACAAATGGAAAGACAAATGAAACGCTGAAGTAAGAAGACAGATGGAAGCAGAAAAAAAAGAGCTGTGGAAGAACTAAAAAGACAGTGGTGTGCTAATTGTGGCAAGGATCTTTTTCTGCTGTTGGAATACCTCAATACTTGTCAGGTAAGGTACATTTTTTTTTAAGCATTTGCTTTATAATGTTTCTAATAGTCAGTAATATAATTACCTAAAACGCTAAAAAAATTCATGAAGTAGTAGCGAGACCGTTAACTATATAAATCAGTGAACTTTTTTTAAATTATAAGAAGATGGAAACAGCATAATTTTATAGACTTAGATACCACATATACTTTTCTCATATATATATATTATATATATATATATATATATATATATTATATATATATATATAGTATATATATATATAATATATATATATATATAATATATATATATATATATATATAACATACATATATATATAATATATATTATTATATATATATATATATATATATATATATATATATATATATATATATATATATATATATATATATATATATATATATATATATATATATATATATATATATATATATATATATTATATATATATATATATTATATATATATGTATATATAATATATATTATTATATATTCATCAGTTGTTCATGATACAGAATATATCAGTAGTGCCATGCTAGATATGTCAGTTGTGCAAATATTCATTCATATCAGTGATATAAATATCTTTCATCTTTGTTTGTCATGAGGTACATTGTATCCCTGTACCTTATGGATCCGGGACGTTGCTCAAGGGAAAGTTGTACAGCTATACAGATGACGTGAACAAAGTGTCAGGAGCTCCAGTGCGACTAAAAGACTCGCCATGAGTGCAGCACAATTTTGACTATTTGCGCATTTTCCCATGCGATAGAACGGGGGATGTAATATGAAAGTATGCGAATGGAGGGAGGGACGCATGTCCGTGCTGTGCACCGTATTCCTGGCCACTGTGACCGACGGCGCAGGTTTTCTTGTGTAAAAAAAAAAAGACATATGACACAAATGACCAAATGTTCCATATATTTTTTTTCTTGCACTGAGGTAGATGATATGGAGTCTGGGCAAGGAGAATAAGTAATTACCATTGGATAAAGCAAATCAAAAGACAAATATGGACATTGGAAAATGGCGATAAAGCTAAAAAAGTTTTCACAAAATAACTTCGCAAAGGGGAGGCACAGAGTCTTTTCACCGCACAAGGGTGTTTGCACGCACCCGGCCTAGGCGCTGCACACCCGGGATGCTGGCCGCTTACATAACCATTGCAACAGGATCCAGGGGGGCTAATTGTTTCATTCATATTAAAGCTTATTACTGATGTGTAACATCATATGAACACTTCCCATGTGCTTTTGTAAGGCAATTTTTCGGAAACTTAGCATAATACATTACTTGTAACCTTTTTTCTGGAAGAATATAATGCTTTTTGGATGAGTGTCCTAAGCAGAAATACAAGAAAGTTTGATTGAAGGAAACTCATAGCATGTCAGTTTCAATAACATTTGAAATTAGGTGTGTAGGATTCAAAGTTTAAAATAGAATCATGAAATTTCTTGAGTTTTGTTGTTGATCTACTAATAAGTGATTAGTCGCAAGAGGATATCTAGATGTGTCTGAAGTGTGGAAATCTCTCTTATAGTCAGTGGAGCCTTTTCTTATTTTCATAGGATTTTTAGTTTCCATGTTAACCATTTCATGAACTTTGGTACAGCTAAAGTATGTTTGCACCTGCCACTTTATGCCTTAGCCCATGTGTAGCTCAAGCTAGACACGCAACTAGGGTCACAAGCTGCCCTCTCAGCCACTGGGATCTTATCTCATAAAGTGACTAGATATCACCTGGCATCAGGAAGTTTTTCACTATGGTGGTATAGGACACCTAACATTAATAGGTTAAAGGGAGAAAGTTTATAAACCATTAGATTTAGCAATATTTAGAAAATGTTAACCTTTGAGAGAGTTTTTTGATGGATATTCTCCTGTTAAGAATACAATTCTGGCAACAAAGATGAAAGATATATTACAAACAGTTTTGTGGTTACCAGCAAGGGGGCGGGGGGAATTCTATCTGTTTATTGGCTTGTATATGATTTATGGAGTGAGGGGTAATGACCAACAGTTGTGTATCTGTAAAGAACAAGATATGTTTTAGTATATTTAGTAGCTTTCTATTGTTACTATTATTATCATCATTATTATAATCAATAATTAGCATCATTAGCAGCAGCAGTTATTGATATTGTCATTATCATTAATATTATTACATGAGTTAAGGCATTCACAAACATAGTTTCAGCTAACTCCTGTGACAATATTAGCTATTCAAAAAGGATTCATCAGATATTTAACCTCCAGGTTTAGGTAAATAATGGTCAGAACATGATTATGCCACAATGAATGAGCTATAACACTTTTTTTAACCTGTTCTTTTGCTTACCATTACAAACTTTATACTAGTGAATTAATTTCATATTCGTGCATTTAAAGATTATGTCTTCTCTTTTCCTATTATGTAAATTGTATTTACCAATTGGCATAGATCTTATTGAACTTATGTAATGACCCTGTTGAAGAAATTAAATCAACAAAATTTATTAGATTATGACACAAATTTCTTTTTTACTTAAATATGGAAAATATACAAAAAAGTATTTAAAAACAGAGAAATTGAATATTGCTACAGTATACATTATCATATATGCATGTAGAGGGTTTGGTACTTTATGGATTTTTGTGCTAGTGTATATTGTTTTACTTCAATATTTTCTCTCTTACCCTATTGACTCCTTTGAATAACCATCTTCATTTACTGTTTTTTACTTGGCATATACAGAATTTTACCCTTCAACTACTTGGAGAAAAAACAGTCATCCAGTAGTTGTTCAGCAGTTATTCTATATAGCTTTTTAAGAAATAGTGACAGTAACCAATAATTTGAATTTTATCTGATTACCTCTGTTAGGATTTTTGTGTGTAGAACCCCGAGAAGAAAGGCTGTTATCTGATTTTGCAGTCGTATATTTTGAAAATAATTTAGGAACATTGAAATTATGCAAAAGATGATTAAATTGACCTAATCTGGGTGGTAGTAAGCATTAAGCTGAATGAATAGTATCATATCACATTCCTTGTTATAGGCAAATATTTGAGAACTGTTAGCCAGAGTGGGTCATTTTCTGTTCTTGTTTATAAGAGCAGAGTAGAATATGTTATTTTCATATTATGGCTTATTTTCGTAATCGCGGTCCTCAGCAAAGTCGTCATTATTGCCTAGAGTGAGCATGAAAGTAGTAACCTACCATGGGGCTGCTTACTGATGATTACCTCACTGGGGATGCAGGAGTGAGGGAGGATACACTGTTTAATTGATTTTTTCTACCAAAATATCTCATGATTTTATTATATGGGAATCCATATAATAGTGTTTTACTTCTATGCAATTGTATTACAATGATGCAAGCTATAGCAAGTTAAACATATTTTTATTTCAATGTCATTGTCTTTGCAGCAATCACACTGGCCACAACATATGGCAGTTTGTGGTCAGAATAGTGACAGTGGAGGTGGTGAAGGTGGCCCAGATTCAGTTAATGGTGAAGCAAGTGGCCATTCTTCCAGGGTCTCAACTCCTCAGAACTTGGTAGTAACACAGGTAAGTTCTTATTTTTTCCTAGCTCTCTTGTGGCTGTCGGTTTATTTTGTAGGTGATTTAACTACACAGTGATTTATTAGTAAATAGAAAATAAAACCTGTTTAAAGGGAACATCCCTGGTAAGGGGATAGAGGGTCATTTGGAGTTACACAAATGACTTAAGCCTATCTTGAATTATTTCGTGGGAGGAGCAAGGACATTAGTGCTAACAGATAAATTGTATAGGCCTATGCAGATAATTAGCGCCTGGTACATGTATGTAAAGGTTTGCCTGCAGCAAACTTGCATATGGCATTTGGTAATGACGTTGTCCATAGATATGAGTTTGTGAATGTCCAAAGAATACTTTTATACCAATATTAGAAGAAAATGATATCACAATGATTTATGTTGATTGGTGCCATCCACCAATGTCAAATTTATTTTGATTTGAAATTGGTTGTTTCCTTTGTAAAGAGAGAATGCTACTGTAATCCATAGGTACCATAGATACATAGGTAACCAACCCCACCCAAGTGTTCTGTGATTTTTATCCAGTTATTTGCAAAGATGAATTGCACAAATGACTAATCACTAATCACTTTTCTTTTACATAAAAATTGATATAGTCTTATTAAAGATCAGGATGATTCAAACATTCAACCTTATGTGCATGTTTATTTACATTTAAACCTCCTCAAAAAATATAATCACTCTGTGACAAGCTCCCCCCTCCCCCATATTTGGAGCATGGGAATGATTCAGAGGGTTCCTTAACTCTTACACACCATTTATTTTATGCATTTGCTTCTGTAATTCCCAAAATTAAACTGATATGTTGTATTCATGCTAGGATTGTATGATTATGATAACTTTGTAATCCCCCCCCCCCACCGATAGGGAGGAGAGATTAAAATGATATATGAGATGAAGCATAATTATATACTCTATAACATGCAAAATATAAGAAAAATAAATAAGTCATCTAAAACTGTTATCTTCGCCTGATCAAATGACTGAAGCTAGGCTTCGTCTAGGATGTTCACCTTAACCCATTGGATCCTGTTGCTTTATGGCAATCGCATGGGAAAAAAAAAACAGGCATTAGACTTACGGGAGCGACTCTCCGATGGGTGTGCAACTTGTTGACTGGACACACGTGAACACTTGTGTGCAGTGACAAGGCTCCCTAATAGATTATTATTTTCTCTTTTTATGAATGTCTTTTCAGGTTTTTTTGACATTTTCTAATGTGCAATTTTATCATTTGATCTGCTTTATTCAGATGGCAATAGACTTTTCCTTGCATATACTTCATATCATCCCTTTAGATAGTCCATAGCTCATTGTAAGAAAAATGAAAATAATGTGCAATGATTTATGGATATTGCTTTCCACTCTCGTTTATTGATGGGATTAATTTAATAGCTCTCTAAGTACCCAAACAGCAGTCACCCTCCAAGAGGGTTCTGCATTTGTGGCTAGGTTTTCCGTCACCTTGGACTTCAGTTGAAATGCTCATAACACTAAATTCGAAACACCCTGGCCTGCAGCCAGATTTTCCCCTGACACCATGTTCATATCACCTGCCCCTCAAGTCAAATTTTTAGTGATGTGATGGAAACTTTATTCAAATTGAAGGGGTTAAGTTTGGGTTAACCCATTTATGCCGGGTGTCCCATATATGAAACACTTGGAAAAATAAACATTGCAGGGCATCCTGCCAGTATGACATTGGATCAGATCTCGCACTCCAAATACACCGTGGGCTGCGGCTGGCGCGTGGGCAGATTCCAGGCTGGCCCTGCATGCTGATTTTGTAGCTGCCTGGAAACTATTATTTTTGGCTTCAAAATATACCAGCATTAGTGGGTTAATAGCAATGAAAAAATGTATAACATGTTTGAACTCGTGACTATAGTATTTATATTATGTACCATTATTTCTTACATACAATGCAGACAGGAGTGCAGTAGTTGACTATAGTAAGATCATATAAGTTGGATCTGTCAAAAGTTTCTTATATGGACATCTCAACCTCTCTTGTATCTCACTCCAGAGCTACATTTGACATATTAAGGAGTCTCTTTTGCTATAAGAAGTTATTCTGTAAAAGGTATAATAGTTCTCATTACATTATTATAAGTCCTTGCTAGGTCCTGGGTTTGATTTGCATCATTTATGTAAGCCAGTTTATCAGCAGTGCTTGCTGTATTGGCAGAGGTATTTAACCCATATTATCCAGATGCTGTGATTGTCATGTCTTGAAAAAAATTAGCTGAGGGCCCAGGGATGTGAATGTGTGGTCATGAAAAAGAATTAGGTGAGGAGCAGGGTAATGGCAAAGTGCCATCATGACAAATTCAACTAAGGTCTAGGATATCAGGAATGACTCATCATGAATGCACAGAGATGATCAGACTCAGTTGGCATTTACGAAGGTGTTCTTGCATTATTTCCACCTGTAAACAAAGGTCAAATGTATTATCCATGGCTGGAAGAGTGCCAGCTCCAAGAAGGA